AGTACCTTTGCCTTTTTGTATAAGCATTTTTTATTGTCTGAAAGAATGTTGCTGTCAAAAAGTGCGCACATGATGAATTTATATGGTGTTAGTATGTAGTATTTTAATCTTCTATGTACGCCTTGGGCCCATGCTGTGGGGAAAGGCGGGATACAAATGCTCTTATTATTATTATTATTAACTATTAAAACCTAAAAATAGGGCTACAACAAAGTTATTTGTTGTTTACCTCAGCTTGGCTTTGACGAAAAAATATATATTATTATTACATCCATTACTGAAAGTGTAACGACCGACTCAAAAATATACCGTCGTAATTCTGATTTTTTTCAAAAGACTGTTTGAGGCTGCTAAGACAAAAATGAAATCTTATCTCACCTCATGTCAATTTAATATAATACTGTATTTTTAAATGTTACCAAATGTTTTCTGGTTGGCACACCACCCTTCTAACCTAACCTAACCTAACCTTATCTTACCTTACCTTACCTTACCTTACCTTACCTTACCTTACCTTACCTTACCTTACCTGACCTGACCTGACCTTACCTTACCTTATCTTACCTAACCTTACCTTACCTAACCTTACCTTACCTTACCTGACCTGACCTGACCTTACCTTACCTTACCTTACCTTATCTTACCTTACCTTACCTTACCTTACCTTACCTTACCATACCATACCTTACCTTACCTAATCTTATTTTATTTTGTCCTGATTTCCGTCTTATCTTATCGTATCTTATCTTATCTTATCTTATTTTATCTTATCTTATCTTATCTTATCTTATCTTATCTTATCTTATCTTAAATGTCTTATCTTATCTCCTCCAGGCCAGGTGAACTTCAACACGTTAGTCCCCGAGGTCACAGGGGACACCCCTCCCTTCGAGGAGCTAGTGGACAGGACCTTTCTCTGCTCCGTCCGAACTACACATACGTTGAGGTCAGGTCAAACGGCCTTGACCTGGTCACGTGACAACGGGCTGCCCCAGCCCAACACTGTCGTTCCATCATCACGTAACATAGGAGGGGTGAGTAGGGGTGTGGGGTAGAGTTGAGGGGTGAGTAGGGTGTGGGGTAGAGTTGAGGGGTGAGTAGGGGTGTGTTAGAGCTGAGGGGTGAGTAGGGTGCGGGATAGAGTTGAAGGGTGAGTAGGGTGCGGGGTAGAGTTGAGGGGTGAGTAGGGGTGTGTTAGAGTTGAGGGGTGAGTAGGGGTGTGTTAAGAGTTGAGGGATGAGTAGGGGTGTGGTGTAGAGTTGAGGGGTGAGTAGGGGTGTGTTGTAGAGTTGAGGGGTGAGTAGGGGTGTGTTGTAGAGTTGAGGGGTGAGTAGGGGTGTGTTAGAGTTGAGGGGTGAGTAGGGGTGTGTTGGAGTTGAGGGGTGAGTAGGGGTGCGTTAGAGTTGAGG